AATCAGAGGAAGTTCTTCCAATTGAGAAGCTCATAGCAGAAGCATACTCAGTGATCGACAAAGCCGTGAAAGTCGGAACATTACACCGAAACACTGCAGCACATCGAAAATCTCGGCTAGCCAGAAGAAAGAAAGCTGTAGAGATCCACCATGGGTGGTACACCCCTGCCTCACCAGCAGCTGCCTGATGCTACCCTCTTGTTCTCATAGCTAATGGGGCTGAAGAAGGAGTGGGAAGATCAGACCAGATCAGATATTGACAAGTTTGTTTCATTTTCCTTCATCTGTTTCTCTTATTTTGATATTTAGTTTGAATGTTGTTCTTTGTCTACTGCTGAAGCTTCACTTCTATATCGTCTGCTCTTGGTTAATGGTTCCATAAAATTTTAACTTCAACAAAAGCTTGTTTTAAGGGTGATAAAACTCAAAACACATCCAAGTTGCTAAGCTTGTTCTAGACAGTCAATGGGAGACCTACCGTAGTTGTTGGCCCTAACCAACTAGATGTATTGTGGCTTAGAACCCAATCCAAGGCTAGTAAGACTACTCCAAACAGACCTATACCAAACAAACCAAATCAGCCCCAGTCCGATTTTTTTGTGGCCCAACTAGCTTGCCTCTGTACTAAGCCAAGTCATTCGACTTGACCTTGCATTCACTTGGGGCCAAGGTCTCTCGGCGCAATGTCACATTTCAATTCTCATTTTGGTTTCCAATTAATGCAGCTCACATGTCTTGATGTCATCCCAAGTCATGGGATGTTGTAGGACATCGTAGCTCACTCTGCCATGGCCATAAAAAATGAGCCAATGTGTTCATAATATTGGGACATCCTGAGCATTCATTTATCTAGGTTCTATCGATGCATTGGACTCTCATTTACAGGCTTCGTTTCGGAGAGTGGGTGTTTGATCCAACCTCTAACACATGACCATTTAACAACCTCCAACACATGTTTGATCCATCTGGATAGTGGGCTGATACTATGCCTCCAAAGTACATTTCGAGGTGTTTTTGGTCTAGTAGGTATAAATATGATTTTGACGAACGGACATACAATGTCGATGTTCGTCTGTTTCGTGTCCGATTGACACCAAACTTGACGAGTTTCATGTGACTTGACTCCAGAACCGCATGCTCAAATTTCCTTTAGAACCCAAACTTTCGAGATTAAGACTCAGGGCCCTACCTAGACCATTCAACAAGCCTATGTCTTGACTTAACTTTCATGCACATCTCTAGGTGTTTTAGATGATAGACCGTCCTCCTCAATCGCACCATGACACTCATCTTATCACAGTCCTTGCCCCGCAGCAACCGTCTAAATGAAAACTTCACTCCATGTTAAAAGAAAAATGACAAAAAAAGAAAAGAAAGGAAAAGAAGAAGCTTAGACGCTGAAAGAGAGGTGATATAAAGGTAACGAAATAGAGATGACGTGGCAGCATCAGAATGTAGAGGCAAGTAGAGGCGTTAGATGAGAAGGTACGGTCTTCCCATGACTTTCCATCCAATTTCAAAAGAAGTATAGGATCCCACGCGGCGCCGCAATCACAACCAAAATTGTCAGTTTTTTCCATTTTCCTTTTCTTTAAGTTGCCGTCAGCAACCGGTTACCGGTGGCACCCACGAACCAAACCTCCCACGTGACCACACCCACCGCCCCTCTATTTATCTCTGCCCGCGTGGCCACACCTTCCCCCACATTTTTAATTATTTATATATTCAATTACTAATTCTTCCCTCGCTACAATATTACATTACCCCGTTATTTATTTGTAATCAAATAAATTACAAGGATATAAAAGAATGATAAATAGAAAAATATCTATGGTAGGAAGACAAATATCTTATAATAAAATATCAAATATGATATATATATATATATATATATATATATATATATGGTAAACTATAATTTAGTACTAAATATCCTTAACACTTCCATTTTTAATTTTTATTTTTGTTATTAAAATAAAATAAAAAAATTTGACATCATGATTACATAATATTGAAATAAACCGTAACCAGTATCTTAATTTTTCGTATATATATATAAATCTACATTAGTTGGGTTGAGTTGGAAAAATCTTTTGGATAAAGATGAATTTTGAATTAGTTGGGTTGGTGACTCGAACCATCTAAATAAAGTTGAGTTAGAATGAGCTGTCATTTGTTTTTTTAGTAATATTATAAAACTCAAATATCAAACATTCATAAATGACAGAATATCACTAATATCGATTATAAATATAAAATATTTTAATATTCATAATAATTTTAAAAGTAAAATTAAGTTGAGACAAAAAAAAAATTGGCAACACATCTACCCGTACAAAATTTTCATTTTCCAAAAATTCAACAAAAAAAAAAAATCTAACCTAATTTAATTTTAAAATTTTTAAGCCTGTTAAATTTAAAATTTTTTAATTGGAACTTAATCGCCACCACCCGAGTGGAGGAGACGGCGGAGCGGGGAGGCAAGGAAAGGGAGCGGTCAAACGCCTCGTTGACTGAGCTTTGAATATATTCATCACCTAAGCTTCCTTTCATTTTCTTTTTCCAAAGGCTGCATGGGGCACGTGCTTTGTGCGTGATTCAGACGCTCCTTCTTCTACGCTCCAAAATTACTCCTCTTTTTTTTTCCCTCTCTCTCTCTTCCGCCTATATAAACCCTAAATCCTTCCCCAATTTCCCATCCGAATTTCATTTCGTATCAATTCCTCTCTATAACCACATTTCTTTACATTTCAAAAACAGAATCGATTAATGGCTGCCGGAGACCGATCTACTTCAACCGCCGCCGTTGAGATCCGGTACAGAGGTGTTAGAAAGAGGCCATGGGGTCGTTACGCAGCGGAAATCCGCGACCCTCGCAAAAAAACTAGGGTTTGGCTTGGCACCTTCAACACGGCGGAGGAAGCTGCACGTGCTTACGACTCAGCGGCGCGTGAATTCCGAGGCGCTAATGCCAAAACCAACTTCCCAACTCCGAACGAATATCTCGTCGACGACAACAACAACAACAAGTTCCGTAGATCCGCTTGCAGTAGTCCCAGCGAGAGCAGCACCGTGGACTCCTCTTCCGCTCCATCCCCGACGGATGCTTCCCTCACTCGCTTCCTCGATGGCAGCCACCCTCCAGCCATTTCCCGTCCAATCTTCTTCTTTGACGCGTTCGCTCAGGCGGAGAAGATGAACGACTTTCGCCGGACTGTAACCGTCGCTGTTGCCGGCGGATCGGCGAGCGACTCCGATTCATCATCCGTAGTTGATTTCGACGATGATTCACAAAAATCACGGCCGTTTGATTTTGACCTGAATCTTCCGGCGGTGGAAGTTGCCTGAGGATCTAATTTTTCAAATTTAATATATATCCGTAATCCATTTTTAGGTTTGATGAAATGTTCTGCCCAAAATGAGATTGAAAAAAAAAACTGCGTTGTTGTATAGATAACAGGAATTCCTCCTTCCACTTTCAATGGAGAAATTTGGATAATTTTATTTATTTATTTGTGTCGAAAAATTTAAATTCCTTTTCTCCCCTATTTTCTCGAGAACGACACGTCGGACGAATACAGCAGATCTGGAGTCGCCGGCACGAATCACAATAGAGCCGACTTGTCGTTTGGGATTTTTTTTTATTAAAAAAAAAAAAAAATTGCGTGTTTCCATAAATTATCCGTATCCCGCGTCGGCCGTCGTGGGGGCGGCGGCGGGCCCATAACTCTTTTAAAATAAATTTAAATTTTGGTCGATATTTTAAAGTAATAAAAATGAGGGTAATATTTAAAAAAAATAAATAATAAATGAGTGAAAGAAAATGCACCGCGCAGGTTCATGATGGGTAGGCGTGGGGGCGCACTCCTGTGTTTCTCTTTTTTACAGAGCCCATCTGACCGTCCCTCGTGATCGCCATGGTGACTGTCATTATCCGACACGTTTCCACAAGATATTCTTGATCCAACGGCTCAAATTTTTTACTTAAAAAACTTTTTTCACAAAATAAAATATTAATTATTGTTGCAGGCGGCAGGCATATACGCCACTTAAATATTCAACCAATCGTAGAAAAAAAAATCATAAAAAGAAAAAAAAGTAAATTCCTGCCACGCCACCACCTGTCGTTACATTATTTTAAATAAAATTGTAATATACTCAAATTATTTAAATATTTTCTTAATGTCTCGGTTCTAATTAATTATAAAATATATATATATGAATAGGGAACGAGTCTAAATCTTCATTTTAAAACGGGGAACAAAAGGAGATGCGTCCACGTGTCGGAAGGTGGCATCAGGGGTGGGACCTGTAATCCGCGTGGCGTGGAACCCGTCTCAACGCGGCTGTGTTTTGGCGGTGCTGGATCCGGGAAAGGCGCCCAATCATTTAGGACCACGTCAGTGGAAGTACGGATAAAATTGGTAGGCCGGCTGTTGTGGCGGTGAGTTGTCTGAAAGGGACAGACAGTTAGGCGACGCGTCCGCAGATTTCAGACTAGGGCTGGGGTGAGTATGATTCCCACTGCCACGTGTACTCATTTTTTTTTTTTTGTTTTTAATTTAATTATTTTTAAGGCGGTTGTTAAAAAAGATGGGGGCGGCTGGGAGCGTGAGGCGGCTTTAAAGCTGTATGCTGTTGGGTTGTCAGGTAACCAACCGGCTTTTATGCTGTCTTCACACTTTTTCTTTTTAAGTCAAAAAAATCAAAATTATAACTTGAAGATAAATCAATAATAATTTTTTTAAAAAAATAATTATTACGTTAATTTAATTTATTTTTTTTTAAATTTTAATTTATATTTCAAGAGGGAATTATAAAATTTAAATTTTATGACATTTTAATAATTTATCATTTATTTTAAATTTATAAACTAACTTTTAATGGAATTTTTTTATTACAAAAAAGAAAGAACAAGAGGCCCAATGTTCGACCCATCTCCTTGTTCATCGAATCGAAACGGATGTCCAATGGGCCAAATCTTACAGCTTCTTCTTCACGTCAACAATGGTTGTGCTCGTGTCCTTCGTCTACTGGAATATGGACGAATTTAAGAGAAAAAGGCGGTTTCCTTTTTCTCCGTATTACATTCTCTCAATCCAAGCTTACTTTTACTGTTTACTAAGGAGCAGTAGTTGCTTCAGACGGCGGCGCTATCCTTTCCGTGTAGAAGCTGAGTCGGAAAACGAGCGATGGGAAGGGTTTTTGTTGTGGAAAAGGAAGGGCGATCGTACAGATGCAAGTTCTGCAATACACAGTTAGCTCTCGCCGATGACCTTGCATCTCGGGTGTGTATACATCTTTTTTTAACGCAGATTTTGTTTAATGTTCGGTAACTGTTTTACATTTCAGCAGCTCTTTCGTCTAACTTTTTCGCTCTTATTTGATCAGACCTTTCATTGCCGCCGGGGAAAAGCTTACCTCTTCAATCATGTGTGAGTTTTCTATCTTGATTTATAATTTGAGTCGCTATGCACTCAAAACTGACCCGCATATTGAACTAGTTTATATGTTCACGTTGTAGATCGTCAATTATTTAAGTCTCGATTCATGTAGATTTTAGGTAGCTAAAAACTAAGACTTAGAATTGATATTGGCTTTGATTCATAAGGGCTTAATCGATGTTATGTTAGTGTCTCAAACTCCTCATCACCATAATTTATATAAGAATGACACATATTCAGTCATTTAGCTCCTCATAAATAGATGAACCGACGTTCTTTTCTTCCTTAAACCTTTCGAAAAAGAAGAATCAAATGAAATCAGGTCAGTTAAGTAGTTCAGTCTCATTTATCTAGAGTCTTTATAGGAGAGTAAATGAATTAGCTGCTTCACCGGGTGAAAGACTGAAATCAGTCGAATGCCAAATAACATAAACCAGATGGGAAGGAGTAGATTTTCTCATAGTGTAAGTGTATGATATGATCAACAATCAAGCCATAACATCGAGATGCTTTACTCCTAACCCCACAAGGTTCCGAGACGAAGCGCCACACTTCTTCAAGGCCCTACAGAGTTCCTTCATTTACTTGTGTGAGCCCCCCCCACCCGCTCACGCTCCTTACCAACAACCCAGTGCTTCGCCGGAACACACCATAGGTTAGTCCAACAACCAGTGGGTTCCTCGCTGCTGCACATTAGCAGAAAAAAAATGAGTGAATAGCCGGTCCCATGCAAGTTTCTCAATCGATTTCCTTTATCCTTTAGTAGTGCTTTAGTCATTCCCTCCTCCCTCTTCCCTCTTCTTTTCAGTCGAGATTGATTATGAATGTATGTCCTTCTTTAGTTTGGAGATTTTGGAGTTAAGCAGCCCGCAAATGACGAGGTCATGGATGAAGTGGGTAGTAAACTTCTATGTGCTTAGAGCAGGCATGAAACACAGGATTGGCCAAGAGATAAACAGCCAAAGGCAGACAAGAAAAAGTCCCTCCCCTTTTGTTTGCAAGTAGAGCACTAAAAGCACCCAAATTAGCCTATCTACTAAGCGTGCAAGTGGAGAGAACTCCATATTGGAAAGAAACTATACAAAAAAAATGGGAAATGAGATTCCTTGTAGGCTTGACTTTCGTTCGAGAACTACTGCACTCGACTGAACTATAAGGTGGAGACTAGATATGGGTATAGTATAGGCTGCTATGAAAGGAAATTCAGGCAAGCATAATAGGAAACTCCTAACATACTCGTTTTAAAAATCTTGAGGGGAAGCCCAAAGAAGACAATATCTGGAGAGAGACGAGCTTCTTTTCTTCCCTTTGTTACATACAAAATAGTCATGTTCATCGTTTACGATGTTATTATCATTACAAAGCATGGATTATATTCACTTACCTTTTGGAGTTCTTCATAAAGAATAAACATTTCTTCGGGAGCATTGGAAGAGAGGATGATGCTCTCAGGACTACATACAGTAGCTGACATATTTTGTTGCACATGTGGCCAAATTGTCGGGTGGAAATATGTAAGCAAACCTTCCTTGTCGGGTGGCTACCAATATGTATAATTTGCCAAACCTCTGTCAACATGTTTGTTACTCATTATTTCATTCAGGACGCAGCACATGAGAAGAGCCAGAAATACAAGGAGGGCAAGTTTGTTCTTGAAAGGTGGATTTCTCATGTCTGTAAGTTGGTTAAACTTGTATAAATCTTTTGCAGTCTCAACTATTTTTTACTTGTGTTGAACCAGGGGGAGGATCGTGGATGACACATTGAATTTTCGACTTAGTATCAGTGATAGCGATGATAATTAGGGTATGATGTTACCATGTTACTATATATAATGAATCATGATAATTACTGAATGATAATGCTTGAGTTTGTAAATAATGTAATAATGTCTGGAGTATGTAAATGCTGAGCTATGTAGATGGGCATGCCTTTTTCTGTTGATTCTTCTACTCTTCTTGTTCATTATTTTCAGTGATTATTAAAAATTCCGGATGATTTCTCATTTTAGGGTGGGCTTACTCATCGACTTACATGATTGTTTTGATTTTGATTTTTGATTTTTTTCTATTGAAAATCTTCTCCTAATTTAGAGAATGATCATGAATTTATAATAAAAAAAATATTATCTTAATTGGTATGAAGCATTTTAGGAAAGTCCAAAGCAAAGCCACTAGAGCTTATGCTCAAAATGGATAATATCATACCATTGTGGAGAGTTTGTTCATCTAACAATCTCATTATTGTAAATATTCGATTGAAATGGCTACTTGTAGCTTAATTAAATATTCATTGCTTTTTTTAGATACTATTTTGTAATATTTTATTGATAATATAAAATTAACACTTCATGACTACACCAACAATCACTACTACTGTTTGCCTCACAGGACAACCGTCCGCCATCCACCTCCGGTGACCACCACCACCACCATCTATCACCAACCTCCAACAACCACCGTCTACCACCTGACCTATATCCACCTCTTACAACCACCATCTACTTAGGGTGACCACTATTATCACCCATCGTCTTATATCCACTCATGAGATCCTACGTTAGTTGAAGAGGAGATCGAACAATTTCTTATGGAAGGTGTAGAAACTTTTTCTAGTAGATGTGATTTAAAATTGTGAGGCTGATGACAATACAAGATGAGTTATGGAGTTGATTTATAAATAAAAATATTTGAAAAGTTTTAATTTTAAATTGTTTTTATAAAGAAAACTTAAAAAAGAAAAACAATTAATTCAAAAAGTGGACACGAATACGGAGAAAGAGTGTGAAGGACAGCGGTTGTCAACGAACAGAGAAACGGACCTCCTCCAGTTTGCGATGAGATCCGTCGGAAACAGAGCAAACCCTTCATCAACCTCCAATACCTTCACTTTTCTAATTTCCCAACCCTAATTCCCTCATTCAATTTGATTCTTCTCTTTTTGCTTTCAATTTTCCCCTTTTTATCTGTTTTTTCGTTCTTCTCCCTGGTAATTGCAGGTTAAATCCCGATGGGAAAGTTCTCTTCTCGCAAGAAGGGGCGTTCCAAGACTTCTTCATCCCAGGTACTCTCCCTCTCTCTCTCTCTCTCTCTCTCACACACACACACACACACACGGGTAATGTTCTAAGATTATGCTGTAGTTTGGCTTATGAATTCACGAACATATCTGGGAAATCTTTGCTTGGTCGATTTGTATGCTTGAATTTTGAGTTTTTGTGTATGAGCTTCTTCTTCGTCTTTCACTTTTTTAGTTCTGCTTTCCGCTGGCAATTGGTAAATGTGATATTGGTATTGTGGTTGCGGTTTAAAATATGAATGTTTTCTCCATCTCTTGCCTCTCTTACCTCATATACGTTTGTTTTGATGCCGATGTGAATTTGTTTTGCGTCCTTTTCACCTTTTTGGCTCAAACCATGAAGAGAAGTAGGAGAAAGAGTAGGAGTAGTAGGAAACTGAAGTCCATGCGGTATCGCCATGATTCTCCCTCTGGCTCTGACAATGATTCTGAAAGCTCAACTTCATTGTCTTCTTCTAGCACGGAGGATGACGAAAAAGTGGGAAGATCTCGATCCAAGATGCGTAAGAATGCTAAAAAGAGAGCCAAGAAGCGATCTCATGACCGTCAAAGAAGGGATTACTCCCCTCATCCCAGAAAGAGGAAGCATTCAAAGAGAGACGAGTGTTGTGAGATGAAGAAGAGCAATAAAAAGAAGCGTAAACGAGATGCGAGTGTTCGTGCCACAAGTAGTGACTCTTTGAGCTGCTCGACTTGTGGAGATGGGAGTACAACCAGCAATGAGAGGGAAATCGATAGGCGTAAGGGCAGGTCTAGAAAGAGGAAAGAAAATATGGGGAAGATTGAAAGGAGTCGGTATTGGTCAAAGAGTCATTCGCCATGCTCTTTATGTAGTGAAGGTAGTGATCATCAGAATGAGGTTGAGAATGTCTGTTATGTTGAAAATAACTTTAGACGACTAAGATCTGTAATCGTTGTAGTTGGAGAGGAAGATAAATTAGAGACGTTTGATGGGAATGAACTACAAGAAAACGTCACGCATCAACCTGATCATGACCACCCTTCTTTTGGGGATATAAACAGAAATGATGGGATGAGTAATAGAGAATTAGATAATCTTATATCTGAAGAGGCACCAGTGATTATAACTGACAATAGAAACTCTATAGTTGTGAAGGATGATGGAGTTCAAAATGAAGGAAGCAACAATAACCATGGAGGATCAACTCATGACCATCCTTTATATGAAAGAAAGAATGGTTGTTCTGTAAACACCGACGACACAAACTGTATCGACTTAGAGTCGATTTTAAGACAGAGGGCTTTGGAAAACTTAAGAAAGTACAAACGGGTGCTCCCAAGGAATGTGGAAACTCCTGCTAATTACGAAGTCGACAATAGTAATGATGCGAAGCAACTGGACTCCCCTGTCTCTAAGTTGGTTCACGTGACTTCCCCTAGGGATGAGGCTGGGATAAATGGTCACAGGTTCTCTAGACAAGGTGGAGGGAACGCTGTAAATTCAATGATAATTGAAAATGGTGTTAAATCTACCGATGAAATGGACTCGGCCGTTGCATCTACGTATGATCCTGTCTATTCTTCACAGCACCTGGGTAAGATTTCCAATGGAAGCAATGATATGAATGAACTGAAGCAGCATATTTCGTCAGTAGACCAGGAGGTTGTAAATGATAGTATTTGCCATATGGCAGATGCAGATATTTGTCCAACAACTAACAGAAGCAATTTGGTTATTGCAGCTTTGAAGCCCGAGTCGAATGTTGATTCTCTTACCGAGCAGGCATCTGCCTCTCAGGAATCTATCCAAACAAAGCCATCTAAATCCGACATGGGCGACGGTGAAACCACTCAAACTCAGACCCAGATGAGGAACAATGATGTTCAAAACATTGGTGATGGTTTCGGATCTTCAGCTCACAAGCCATCATCTTCTTCTTCCCTTAATTCTATTTCAGGAGAAAGTCTCTTGAACGATTCCAGACACGAGAGTGGTGAAGGCTCACAGTTCGAACAGAAAACAATGTCGGTAAAGCGGGGTGGTGAAATGGTGCAGGTGAGAATATTGAGTACTGACTAAATTTATATATTCAGCAGGGAGTATAATTGTACTAGTTTTGTTAAGAACTTGGAACGGATCTGCAAATATTCATTTCAGGTTAACTACAAGGTGTACATTCCAAAGAGAGCTCCTGGTTTGAGTAGGAGGCAACTCAAGCGGTGACTTAAGATCCATGATTTTGCAGCCTTGTAGGATGCTCCTGTTGCTTGCCATTCCAAAGATTGTGAAGTTTTGGATTAGAATTTTCCATTCGCTTTCTGTGCGAAGGATCTATAAAGCCTTGAAATATGAACAATAATTAGTGCAGCCAATTGGTAGCATTTGTCTGTTAACTTTTCCACGAGAATGATCAATATGACCATTTGATCAAACGAGAAAACTTGGTGATGTTCGGAGCCAGTGATGATTCACACAGCTTGACAAATCTATCTTGAAATTTTGAAGTGATATCGACAATGCTTTTTTTTTTTTAAGAATAGAAAATTATAACACCCCGATCAAAGTAAAACCAAAAGAGAGTTAGAAATGACTCACCAGCAACCAAACGAAAGATTCACGGATTTATTGACTCAGGCAAGCTAAAGCTACCCAATTGATCGATCTCCTCTCAGAAAGGAAAAAAGTGCAAGTATATTTAGAATCTGAGATATAAAATTTCAATCAAGAAAGATTGAATTGACATATGTCGTGAGAGAATTCGAATTCGAATCGATCAATGGCCAAACCATATGAACTATGCCAAAGTTGACGAACTTTCCTATAAGATACAAATCCAATAGGATATATATATTTTTTAGTTGTTCTCAGGACTTCAAAATGGTGCACTTCAAAATTATGATTCCAAAAGAGGGGCCAAGCAATCGAATTTAAGAATATTATTGAAAAAAATAGTATTTTTGTAGTCAAAAGAAGAACCCAATAACCCGGATGCCGGGCCCGCCGGGAATCTGAACCGTGGCGTTGATTATTTGATTGGCGAGACGGAGGAGAAATCATGAGACACCTCCATCAATCTGCAACACAACAGAATAAAACAAGAATCTGGAACCAACAATCTTCAATCACAAGGCCATTTCAATTCCCCTTTATATATAACCCACTTTGTCAAATTGTCTCTTCTGATTCTGAATCCCTTGATTTTGTTGCTTCGATTACGAATGAGTTTCTCACCCAATCCACTTTCCCTCAGCGTCCCTGACGGTGCTTTCGATTCATGGCTCCGCGATTCCGGCTACCTTGAAATTATCGATCAGCGCACCTCTGACGTCCACCGTCATTCCTCCGCCGCTGCCGCCGCTGCTGCCCCCATCACATCTACCTCCGCCCCCACCACCCCTTTAGCTACTGGTTTCTTCATCTCCCTTTTCTCTCGAATCGTGACCCTTCTCTCCATTTTCACCCTTAACCCCTTTGCCAAGCTCTCTGCTGCGGATTTTTCTGGGCCAACCCCCTCCTGGACTTCTGGGTTTATTGGGTCTTTTGAGTCGTACTCGTTTCCTTCTTCGCCGGCTCAAGCTCGTCTAAGAGCCCATGAGAATGCTAAACGCTATGCTCGCAATTACGCGTCCCTGTTTGTTCTCTTCTTTGTCTGCACGCTGTATGTTCTTCTCTCTCTCTCTCGTTATTGCTTGGGTGTACATTATGTTCTTGAAGTTGTTGATTTCATGGGGGTTGCGTATTGGGTTCTGTTTGGTTTTTCATGAAGAGGAGAACAGTGGAAGCTGTGAACTAATCGGTTTGTTAAAAGCATTTTGTTTAGATACGGTGATGGCTTTAGTTGTTTGATTGGATTGTTGAAGCCTACTCGAATGCCAATCCCAGTGTAAATTCTGTGCATTAGAAATTGTGGATTGGCTTTGAGCTATTCGAAATGGTTGGATTAGATGAAACTATCAGGCACTTGCAGTTTCTTCTTACGTTTTCCTTTTGTGGATTCAAGTGGTTTGACTGAACAGAGATAGCCACTGTTGCTTTTGTTGGTCATTAAACTCGAACACTATCACCTGGTCATGTTTTTCTTATGTTTAAATTTTGTTGTGGATGATTTCAGGTACCAGATGCCTGTTGCCCTTCTTGGGTTGATATCATGTATGGCACTTTGGGACGTTGTTAAGTTTTGTTGCAACAGGTGGGGATTAGACAAATATCCAGTTGTTTGGCAGTGTTTGGTTCGCGTTGCTCAGTGTGGTGAGTTTTAACGTTTTTAAGTAGGACTTTGCATATACACATCTGAGAAGTTCCTCCCAAGTCTTCTCTTCAAACATGTATAATGCCTATGGCTATCTATCGTAGTTCTTGTTTTGACTGTTTCATTTGGTTAAGATTACAAGCCTAAGGCTATCTATCGTTTTAAGATGACTGATAATATTAGCTCAATTGTCCCGTATTCTGAGAAATTGAGCTAATGTGTTGGCGGGGTAGGCAGCATGTGAGACCCTACATTGATTGAGGAGGAGAACGAAGCATTTTTTATAAGAGTGTGGAAACCTTTTCCTAGCAACGCGTTTTAAAAACCTTGAGGGGAAGTTCGAAAGGGAAAGCCCAAAGAGGATAATATCCGCTAGCGGTGGGCTTGGACTCTTATAGATGGTATAAGAGCTAGTTACCGAGTGGTGTGTCGGCAAGGACGTTATGCCCCAAAGGGGGTGGACACCGAGCGGTGTGCCAACGAGGACGTTGGGCTCCGAAGGGGGTGGAATGTGAGATCCCTTATCGATTGGAGAGGCCAGCAAGGATGCTGGCCCCGAAGAGGAGTGGATTGTGAGATCGCATATCGATTGGGGATGAGAACGAAACATTCTTTATAAGAGTGTGGACGAAGCATTCTTTATATGAGTGTAGAAACCTTAAGGGGAAGCCTAAAACGAAAAACCCTAAGAGGACAATATCTACCAGCGATGGGCTTGAGCTGTTATATCTGCATCTGATCTTGTAAAAGTTTTGCATACGTTATTTGGAAGCCTTTGAGATTTATTTCAAAACTTAGTAAATTACATGCATGATCCACAATTGTTTGAGCTGCTATTGTTAGTTCATTACATCAGTAATCATCTTATATAATCCTTTTTTTCTTCCAAATACTGAACTAGTATAATATTTTGCAGTGACTGTTATCATCCTTTTATTTTCCAACTTTCAAATGGCAATTTTCTGTGCACTCGGTATTGGGTATACAGGTGACTCCGAAACATTTCTATGCTATGTAATAGAGTTCTTCATCACTAATTCTTTTCGTTTGAAACGTTTGCAGGCATGATTTTGCACGCTGCATTTCGGAAGCTGACTCTCGCCAAGCCCCCATCTACTGGGAGTCGAAAATAGGTAGCTACAGAACAAATATTTGTAATATTACATGTGAGCTATGTTTGAGCAAGCTTGCTGCAAGGTACCCACATCTGAATCTATGATGAGATAAAAGTGCTGGTAATTCTGCATTCTAAAGGACAAAAAGCATTAGTTGTATTAGATAGAACACAGAGGTTTGAAGCTGTATTGGCATGTTAAGTTCAAAGAAAGTTAATGATGTTCTTGTCGATTCTGCTAATGAATCTACCAAGCGATGAAGATTTTAGCTTTTTTTTGTACAAAGTATTTGGATGATTCAATGTAGTAGTCTAGATTTTTAATGTAAAATATATATTCAGGTGTTTACATGGATGTTGTGTGATGTTCAATATATGATCAATGTTAATTTAAACTTCATCAGTTGTCTTCCGCTATGTTAAATTATTACCATAAACCAAAATTAAAAAAAAAACAAATCAAGGACAATTGGAAAATTTTAAAATTACGGGACTAATAGAACCATGCAATATATATGCATGCTTCGAAATGTTGAGGTCGATATCGACGTGGATGAAAATGTCCTTGATTTAACTCTCCACTATTCACAGCATTTCAATAGAGCAAATTATTCATATCAGTATTACAAATGTGAATGCAATGAATAGCAAGCACCCATATTCAAAGAAATGTGAAATGCTGCTAACAAAACAAAAATTTCATAAGCAAAAATCACAAGATTAATAATTAATACACCATTTCTTACAACCACGTATGTACATCAACTCAAATAATGCACTGTCAAGAATAAAAAATATCAAACAAATACACAACCTTTCTCCCATTCAAGCTGGACTCAGATCCCTTGATACCTGACCTTGCCATCTGATTCACAAAGCCATGCAGTTTAGCTCAAGCCCATTTGGCAGTAACCAGAAACAATGTTTGATGCTCCGTTTTAACTTTCAAATCTGCTATTTTTATCCCCTGATTTTCTAATGTAAAGCATTTTTAGTCTGTCCTGATGATGTTTTATTAGTCACTCTACAGATGTTTTATTAGTCACTCTACAAGAACTTCATATGAATACTCCCAATTTTTCTATGGTGTGCAAATCAAATACGTAAACAAGTGGCTGAATACGGGCGAGGCTAAAGGAAATGGGTGACGGATGAGCTGAAGATTCCCTAGTCTAATAAATAGCACAGACGAAAACAGTGCATCAATCTATTTGCGTAGAACCAAATATTTTCCTACCACTGGATCAAAAAAGGAATGACAATTACCATAAAACAAACCTGGAGAGTAAAAATCTAGCAAGCGAGCTCAAATTAGAATTTGAATGAAGTTCCTTGTTCGATTGCTTTTTGCTGCTATCAGAATCGGCGACATCTTGTGTATCTTCAGGAACTGTCTTTGTCTTGTTGAATAAGCGAGTGGCCAAGTCTTGTAAATTTTTCAGTGAAGATTCCTCAGAACTGCAGAGATGTTTCTCGAAGTTAATTATGAGAACTTAACATAGCGCGACATGGGAGGGATTAAGAAAATGAAAGAACTAACAAACCTGGCCAATTTCTGGAGCAACTTGGTAACAAGAACTTCACATGATCCAGGTTTTACGCGTTCCATATTTATAAGTGCATTAATTACGGTACGAGAAGGTGATCCTTCCGAATCATCTGCAACTACCTGAGATGACATGTAAGAGGAGGTTACACTTTTCAGCACATTTGTACTCAGAAAATAAATGTCGTTGAATAAACAGAAAAAATATTGTGCACGTTGGTTATCACTCTGACAGAACAATTTGCTAAGGAATCAAATCAAAAGCTCGTGTGCTATAATAAATGCACCATAAAAGGCCTATCTAGGGATGAGGGTATTGAGAGACCCAGGGTTAAATTTGTATATCCAAGTAATAGGAAGATGAAAGAAGAGAGAGTCCAAGTTGGATAAGTAACCTTGTCATGAAGTCAGTAAGCTAGCGTGGGGAAAGGTAAAATTTACAAGTTTTTTAAGGAGCTGCAAATCTGATCATAAGGGAAGGAGGGAGATTGGATGCCAAGGTAAGAAGTAGCTAGTATGGAGAGAC